ATACTGCCGGGGGGGTTAAACTAATACTTTGTTGAAGCACCTTCTGATTTTATTCCAGCACTCAGTCTTTTTGGGTATGAGTCTATCAGCATGGCACATCTTGACTTGGCAATATTTGCCCACTCTTCCTTGCAAAAACACTCCAAATCGGTCAGATTGCAAGGACATCTCCTGTGCACAGCCCTCTTCAGATCACCCTACAGATTTTCGATCGGATTCAAGTCTGGGATCTGGTGGACCATTCGAAAATGTCAATCTTCTTCTGGTGAAGCCATTCCTTGATTTGGAGGTTTGCTTTGGGTTGCTGTTATGCTGAAAGATGAAGTTCCTTTTCATGTTCAGCTTTCTAGCAGAAACCTGAAGGTTTTGTGCCAATATTGACTGGTATTTGGAACTGTTCATAATTCCCTCTACCTTGACTAAGGCCCCAGTTCCAGCTAAAGAAAAACAGCCCCAAAGCATGATGCTGCCACCACCATGCTTCACTGTAGGTATGGTGTTCTTTTGGTGATGTGCAGTGTTGTTTTTGCACCAAATATATATCTTTTGGAATTATGGTCAAAAAGTTCAACCTTGGTTTCATCAGACCATAACACATTTTCCCACATGCTTTTGGGAGACTTCAGATGTTTTTTTGCAAAATTTAGCCGGGCTTAGATTTTTTTCTTCGTAAGAAAAGGCTTCATACTTGCCACTCTACCCCACAGCCCAGACATATGAAGAATACAGGAGATTATTGCCACATGTACCACACAGCCAGTACTTGCCAGATATACCTGCAACTCCTTTAATGTTGCTGTGAGCCTCTTGGCAGCCTCCCAGACCAGTTTTCTTCTCGTCTTTTCATCAATTTTGGAGGGACGTCCAGTTCTTGGCAATGTCACTGTTGCGCCATATTTTCTCCACTTGATGACTGTCTTCCATGGTATATCTAATGCCTTGGAAATTCTTTTGGACCCTTCTCCTGACTGATAACTTTTAACAATGAGATCCCTCTGATGCTCTGGAAGCTCTCTGCGGAACATGGCTTTTGCTGCAGGATGTGACTATGAAAATATCAAGAAAGACCTACTAGAACAACTGAACTTTATTTGGGGTTAATCAGAGGCACTTTAAAATGATGACAGGTATGTACCGACTCCTATTTAGCATTATTTTGAATGTGATTGCTCAATTCTGAACACAGCTACATCCCCAGTTATAAGAGGGGTGTGCACACTTATGCAACAACATTATTTCAGGTTTTTTACGCTTACTTGCCCCCTAAAAATATTTCAGCGTGTTTTTCAATTGATTAAATATTATAACCTTTTTGTGATAGAATTACATAAACATAACAATATTCAAATTACATAATAATATCATAAATACTCAAAAGAAAAACAAAAAAAAAAGTCCAATAAAAAAGTGTCTCAATAAAAAAGTGTCTCAATAAAAAACAATAATGTCAAAAAAAAAAAAAAAAAAAAAAAGTCCCAATTTTCAAACTTTATCATCCAGTAGGAAGAAATACCATTTCATCCCGTGGTACCTCAAAAAAAATATAAAATGAATAATCTAGTGCATTACCTTTGTAAACAATATATATTCACAGTGCAAAAACACAAAAATTGTGCAAAAACTATATATATTGTAAACATATATATAATATATATATATATATATAAAAATATATATATATATATATATATATATATATATATATATATATATATATATATATATATCTATATCTCGTGCATATATGGATTAGCTGTGACCACTCCGTGAACACTGCAACCCTGTGTATCCACCAACACCAATAGTATTACATACTATTACCCTCTGTATCAATATAATCAGCATCCAATCAGAGATCTTCTATTTTCTCTCCAAAAAATTTTTCCAAGGTCCTCAAAAGACAAGAAGGGTCTCAAGGCTCATGTTCAAGGTATAGGTAAAAAGATTTTAATAGCCACTTACATTAAAATTCCACATATCCAGCTCCTAACATGGTTCCTATGCGAGTTCTGCCAAACAAATGCAATAGGCCATGTGTAAACAACCCACAAAATGGCCGCGGCGACACTTCAGGTCTGCGTGCGTGCGTCTCGTCAGACGAAGCCGGAAGTGACGAAACGCGTTAGAAGGTGTGACGTCGAGACGCACGCACGCAGACCGGAAGTGTCGCCGCGGCCATTTTGTGGGTTGTTTACACATGGCCTATTGCATTTGTTTGGCAGAACTCGCATAGGAACCATGTTAGGAGCTGGATATGTGGAATTTTAATGTAAGTGGCTATTAAAATCTTTTTACCTATACCTTGAACATGAGCCTTGAGACCCTTCTTGTCTTTTGAGGACCTTGGAAAAATTTCTTTGGAGAGAAAATAGAAGATCTCCGATTGGATGCTGATTATATTGATATAGAGGGTAATAGTATGTAATACTATTGGTGTTGGTGGATACACAGGGTTGCAGTGTTCACGGAGTGGTCACAGTTAATCCATATATGCACGAGAGATATATATATATATATATATATATATATATATATATAGTTTTTGCACAATTTTTGTGTTTTTGCACTGAGTGAATATATATTGTTTACAAAGGTAATGCACTAGATTATTCATTTTATATTTTTTTTGAGGTACCACGGGATGAAATGGGATTTCTTCCTACTGGATGATAAGTTTGAAAATTTGGGACTTTTTTTTTTTTTTTTTGGACATTATTGTTTTTTTATTGAGACACTTTTTTATTGAGACACTTTTTTATTGGACTTTTTTTTTTTGTTTTTCTTTTGAGTATTTATGATATTATTATGTAATTTGAATATTGTTATGTTTATGTAATTCTATCACAAAAAGGTTATAAATAATTAAATTATTGCACTTTCTGGGGAGAAAGTATGACTTTTTGAGGAATTTTGGGGTGGAGGTGGTTATACACTTATTTATTTGTTTTTCAATTGAGTTGTACAGTTTATAGGTCACATTAAAAGGTGGAAAAAGTTCTGAAATGATTTATCTTTGTCTCATTTTTTTTACATCACAGAAACCTGATAATTTAACAGGGGTGTGTAGACTTTTTATATCCACTGTATGCCACTCACTCTCATACCCTCTACACTCCTTTCCCGCATATACTGCCCTCTGTAATACCCATCTACATATGCTGCCCACCGTCATACCCTCCACGCTCCTATTCTGCATTTACTGCCCGCCGTCATACACTCCACGCTCCCCTCCTGCATTTACTGCCCGCCGTCGTACCCTCCACGCTCCCCTCCTGCATTTACTGCCCGCCGTCATACCCTCCACGCTCCCCTCCTGCATTTACTGCCCGCCGTCGTACCCTCCACACTCCCCTCCTGCATTTACTGTCAGCCGTTATATCCTGCACTCTCCCCTCCTGCATTTACTGCCCGCCGTCATACCCTCCACGCTCCCATTCTGCATTTACTGCCCGCCGTCATACCCTCCACGCTCCTCTCCCGCATACACTGCCCGCCGTCATACCCTCCACGCTCCCCTCCCCGCATACACTGCCCGCCGTCATACCCTCCACGCTCCTCTCCCGCATACGCTGCCCGCCGTCATACCCTCCACGCTCATCTCCCGCATATGCTGCCCGCCATCATAACCTCCACGCTCATCTCCCGCATATGCTGCCCGCCGTCATACCCTCCACGCTCATCTCCCGCATATACTGCCCGCCGTCATACCCTCCACGCTCCTCTCCCGCATATGCTGCCCGCCGTCATACCCTCCACGCTCCCCTCCCGCATACGCTGCCCGCCGTCATACCCTCCACGCTCCTCTCCCGCATATGCTGCCCGCCGTCATACCCTCCACGCTCATCTCCCGCATATGCTGCCCGCCGTCATAACCTCCACGCTCATCTCCCGCATATGCTGCCCGCCGTCATACCCTCACGCTCCCCTCCCGCATCCCGCATATACTGCCCGCCGTCATACCCTCCACGCTCCCCTCTTGCATATACTGCCCGCCGTCATACCCTCCACGCTCCCCTCCCGCATATACTGCCCGCCGTCATATCCTCCACGCTCATCTCCCGTATATACTGCCCGCCGTCATACCCTCCACGCTCCCCTCCCGCATATACTGCCCGCCGTCATAACCTCCACGCTCATCTCCCGCATATGCTGGCCGCCGTCATACCCTCCTTGCTCCCCTCCTGCATATGCTGCCTGCCGTCATACCCTCCACGCTCCCCTCCCACATACACTGCCCGCCGTCATACCCTCCACGCTCATCTCCCGCATATGCTGCCCGCCGTCATACCCTCCACGCTCATCTCCCGCATACGCTGCCCGCCGTCATAACCTCCACGCTCATCTCTCGCATATACTGTCCGCCGTCATACCCTCCACGCTCATCTCCCGCATACGCTGCCCGCCGTCATAACCTCCACGCTCATCTCCCGCATATACTGTCCGCCGTCATACCCTCCACGCTCATCTCCCGCATATACTGTCCGCCGTCATACCCTCCACGCTCCTCTCCCGCATATACTGCCCGTCTTCATACCCTCATCTGCATATACTGGCCACGAAGACATTTCTCTAACACAGTTCTATCCCCCACTCATTCCTCTCTGGGGGGGCTCACTTCTACATGTATGTCACAATAACAGAAGTGATGCTTGGAGGAATCAGGTGGGTCCCTTTCTAACTACACACACCAGCCCTATTCTTTTTTCCATTGTTTTAAGATTAAAGTCTAAAACGACAAACTATCTATACACTCCTATATACATAATGCGTTCTGCAAGTCACGTGGATAAACTAGTGACATGAAATAAGTAACAGCCGGAGCTCCCTCTCTGGATCCCAGGAACACCGGAATGTAGGGAGCGGGGCCTATGCAGTGACCTGTGGCTGAGCCCTGTGATCAAAGCGTTGTCCGCCCTAACAGCATCCCATCTATCAACAGCCACAAGCCGGCCGTCTCCGCTCTGTCCTCCTCCACCATTTGCCTCATCCCCTCTCCTCACCCCTCCTGTCACTGGCTGTGACGTAGCTCCTCTGCAGCCCGGTGACCCGCAAACATCTCAGCGCTCGGCTTCCCAACATCATTGCCCTCATGGGCGACGCCATCTTGGATTTGGGCGGCCTTTGCCTCTGCCTACTCTGATGGCGTTATTTACGTTCCCAAAGGGAGCAGGGGCGCCATTTTGGAAAAGGGAGAAAGGCTGGACACGTTGTTTTTAGTGTATATATATATGTGTGTGTATATAAGGCTGGGCGGGAGCTGGGCACGTTCTTTTTAGTGGAAGTATATATATGTGTATATATATATCTATATATATCTGTGTGTATATGTAATGTGTATGTATATATATCTATGTGTATATATATATATGTGTATATATATATATATATTTAGGTTTTTTTTTGGGATGCACATGAACTTTAATGGCATCCCAGTTTTAGTCCGTAGGGTTCAATCTTGAGTTGGTCCACCCTTTGCAGCTATAACAGCTTCAACTCTTCTGGGAAGGCTGTCCACAAGGTTTAGGAGTGTGTCTATGGGAATGTTTGACCATTCTTCCAGAAGCGCATTTGTGAGGTGAGGCACTGATGTCAGACGAAAAGTTCCGGCTCGCAGTCTTCGCTCTAATTCATCCCAAAGGTGTTCTATCGGGGTGCAGGCCAGTCAAGTTCCTCCACCCCAAACTTGTTCATCCATGTCTTTATGGACCTTGCTTTGTGCACTGTGCGCAGTCATGTTGGAACAGAAAGGGGCCATCCCCAAACTGTTCCCACAAAGTTGGGAGCATGAAATTGTCCAAAATGTCTTGGTATGCTGACGCCTTAAGAGTTCCCTTCACTGGAACTAAGGGGCCTAGACCAACCCCTGAAAAACAACCCCACACCATAATCACCCCTCCACCAAACTATACACTTGGCACAATGCAGTCAGGCAAACACCATCCTTCTGGCAATCGCCAAACCCAGACATGTCCATCAGATTGCCAGACAGAGAAGAGTGATTCGTCACTCCAGAGAACACGTCTCCAATGCTCTAGAGTCCAGTGGCAGCATGCTTTACACCACTGCATCCGACACTTTTGCATTGCACTTGGTGATGTATGGCTTGGATGCAGCTGCTCGGCCATGGAAACCCATTCCATGAAGCTCTCTACGCACTGTTATTTTGCTAATCTGAATGCCACACAACGTTTGGAGGTCTTTAGCTTTTGACTCTGTAGACAGTTGGCGACTTATGCACACTGTGTGCTTCAGCATGCGCTGACCCCGCTCTGTCATTTTACATGGTCTACCACTGTTATAATACCACTAACAGTAGCAAGGACATTTCATGGATGGATTTATTGCACAGGTGCTAACCTATCACGGTACCACGCTTGAATTCACTGAGCTCCTGAGAGCGACCCATTCTTTCACAAATGTTTGTAGAAGCAGTCTGCATGCCTAGGTGCTTGATTTTATACACCCATGGAGGTGATTGGAACACCTGAATCCAGTGGTATGGAGGGGTGTCCCAATACTTTTAGCAATAAAGTGTATACACACACACAGACGGGTTAGAAAAAAATGGAAACACAACATGGTTTGCAAGTAACATGTTTTGCATTGACAGAAGAAGTGATGTAAAATTATTTTGCTTCCGCTGAGTGATGCGACACCTAGCTAACTGCCTCTTTCATCATTCACTGCATGCACCACTAGTGGTACGGAGTCATTTCATAGCTTACTGAGCTTCAAATAGAGCAAATTGCTGGTGCCCGCTTAGCTGGTGCCTCTGTGACTGAAATTGCCAATTTATTTGCTGTGTCACGAGGTACAGCATCACAGGTGCTATGATGGCATATACAGTTTATGGGAAAATGTCGTATGACAAGCATAAGCGCTGTTGACATGGTCAACTGACAGAAACAAAAGGACATTGCGCAGGACTGACCTGGAACTAAAAAACAACTGCTGCAAAAGTGACTGCAGAGTTTAATCTCAGTCTTCATGGGACTGAGATTGAGCTCTGCAGTCACTTTTGCAGTAGTTGTTTTCTTATTCCAGGTCACAGTCCTGCACAATGTCCTTTTGTCCCCACCTCCTGATATTGGAGAGAGGGATGTCCCTTAGCGCAGAATATTTCAGTGAAGGACACACATTTGCCACATACCCTGATCACACAAACTGAAATACATTAAAGTGTAACTAAAGGCAAAACTTGTTTTAATTTTTAATTTTGGATAGACAAGATGGATTACAACACCTGGTTTTCATTGCTGTCTGTGCTGTCCATTAGGGAGGTTCACCCTCTCTACTTGTCCTGTTTTTCATTATCAGAGAAAGTTAAAGAAAATCCCAAATGTTGGGCTGTCCCCAGAACAGAAATAGAGGGGATATGTCCATTGGGGACACTAGTTCTATTGACAGCTTCACTTTGGAAGGATTTCCTCTCACTTCCTGTTTTGGCAATGGTCGTGAGGTGAAGAGAAATCTCAATGGGACCAAATGGCAAAACAAAGTATACAGAAGTTATAATCCTCCCTTCTTCTATCCAAGATGAAATAAGTGCCTTAAGTTCTACTTTAACCACTTGCCCTCCAGAGGATTTACCCCCCTTCCTGACCAGGCCATTTTTTGTGATACAGCACTGAGTTACTTTAACTGACAATTGTCAACAGTCATGTAACGCTGTATACAAATGAAATTTATGTAATTTTTTTCCCCCACAAATAGAGCTTTCATTCGGTGGTATTTAATCACCTCTTTTTTTTATTTTTTTATTTTTTGCACTATAAAAAAAAAAAGACCAACAATTTTGAAAAAAAAAACAATATTTTTTACTTTTTGCTATAAAACATACCCAATAAAATAAAAATTTAAAATCACATTTCTTCAAACATTTAGGCCAGGGGTGGGCAACTGTGGCCCTCCAGTTGTGGAACTACAAGTCCCATCATGCCTCTGGGAGTCATGCATGTAACTGTCAGTTTTACAATGCCTCATGGGACTTGTAGTTCACCAACAGCTAAAGGGCCACAGTTGCCCACCCCTAATTTAGGTCAAAATGTATTCTGCTACATGTCTTTGCTAAAAATAAATCTCAATAATTGTATATTAATTGGTTTACATGAAAGATATAGCATCTACAAATGACGGTATATACACTCAGGTCCATAAATATTGGGACATCGACACAATTCTAACATTTGTGGCTCTATACACCACCACAATAGATTTGAAATGAAACAAACATGATGTGCTTTAACTGCAGACTGTCAGCTTTAATTTAATAGTATTTACATCTAAATCAGGTGAACGGTGTAGGAATTACAACAGTTTGCATATGTGCCTCCCACTTGTTAAGGGACTAAAAGTAATGGGACAATTGGCTTCTCAGCTGTTCCATGGCCAGGTGTGTGTTATTCCCTCATTATCCCAATTACAATGAGCAGATAAAAGGTCCAGAGTTCATTTCAAGTGTGCTATTTGCATTTGGAATCTGTTGCTGTCAACTCTCAAGATGAGATCCAAAGAGCTGTCACTATCAGTGAAGCAACCTATCATTAGGCTGAAAAAACAAAACAAACCCATCAGAGAGATAGCAAAAACATTAGGCGTGGCCAAAACAACTGTTTGGAACATTCTTAAAAAGAAGGAACGCACAGGTGAGCTCAGCAACACCAAAAGACCCAGAAGACCACGGAAAACAACTGTGGTGGATGACCAAAGAATTCTTTCCTTGGTGAAGAAAACACCCTTCACAACAGTTGGCCAGATCAAGAACACTCTCCAGGAGGTAGGTGTATGTGTGTGTCAAAGTCAACAATCAAGAGAAGACTTCACCAGAGGGAATACAGAGGGTTCACCACATGATGTAAACCATTTGTGAGCCTCAAAAACAGGAAGGCCAGATTAGAGTTTGCCAAACGACATCTAGAAAAGCCTTCACAGTTCTGGAACAACATCCTATGGACAGATGAGACCAAGATCAACTTGTACCAGAGTGATGGGAAGAGAAGAGTATGGAGAAGGAAAGGAACTGCTCATGATCCTAAGCATACCACCTCATCAGTGAAGCATGGTGGTGGTAGTGTCATGGCGTGGGCATGTATGGCTGCCAATGGAACTGGTTCTCTTGTATTTATTGATGATGTGACTGCTGAAAAAAGCAGCAGGATGAATTCTGAAGTGTTTTGGGCAATATTATCTGCTCATATTCAGCCAAATGCTTCAGAACTCATTGGACGCAGCTTCACAGTGCAGATGGACAATGACCCAAAGCATACTGCAAAAGCAAAGAAAGAGTTTTTTAAGGGAAAGAAGTGAAATGTTATGCAATGGCCAAGTCAATCACCTGACCTGAATCCGATTGAGCATGCATTTCACTTGCTGAAGACAAAACTGAAAGGAAAATGCCCCAAGAACAAGCAGGAACTGAAGACAGTTGCAGTAGAGGCCTGGCAGAGCATCACCAGGGATGAAACCCAGCGTCTGGTGATGTCTATGCGTTCCAGACTTCAGGCTGTAATTGACTGCAAAGGATTTGCAACCAAGTATTAAAAAGTGAAAGTTTGATTTATGATTATTATTCTGTCCATTACTTTTGGTCCCTTAACAAGTGAAAGGCACATATGCAAACTGTTGTAATTCCTACACCGTTCACCTGATTTGGATGTAAATACCCTCAAATTAAAGTTGACAGTCTGCAGTTAAAGCACATCTTGTTGGTTTCATTTCAAATCCATTATGGTGGTGTATAGAGCCAAAAATGTTAGAATTGCGTTGATGTCCCAATATTTTTGGACCTGACTGTATATTGATCACTTCCCCACAGTAATACTGTGGTCACAGTGTGTTATAAAAAAAAATTGTAAAACAAATGTAATAATTTAATAAAAAAGGAAGATTTTTTTTTTTTCATACTGTCACCATTCAGTGTTTCTGGTCACCACTACACCAGTTATATGATGATGCTGTACTGCACTGGTGACAGCATGTAAAGGAAAAAAATTGTGAATTTTTCATGTTATTTCTTCATTTTCCAAAAACGATGACAAAAAATAACAGCTTCAAAAAACTCGCCATGCCTCTTACTAAATACCTCAGACTGTCTACTTTACAAAAAGGAGTAATTTGGG